TAAAAATGGGAATAAATTCAAGGCGATTATGGAAACGCCCGGAGAGGTCACCTTTGTAAGAGAAATTCTACCTATCCATGAAACGCATCTGCTGGTAACTTCGCCTGCGGCCTACTCAGTGCCTCTTCAGGGGAGTTTTTGCCCCTCTCCGTCATCAGCTGCTCCTTTATAACTTCCATGGGACACACAACCTTACTGCAGCAGCCTACCCTGCTGAGGGCTGCTGATAGGGCGGGAAGTACTATGCACTCAGAAATCATTTCCTGTTGTTACCCTCTGTCCTGCGGTACTCTCTGTCCCCCTAATTCTGAAGAAAGCTCACCCCGAAGGAGATAGCCTGTTTTATCTGTGTGCTGCCTAGTTCTCAGCTGTCACTTTAAATACACACCCATCAGAGAAAGTAAACAAAAGCAACAGAACATGCTGTACGCGAGTTCTAATGGGCTTCCTCAAACTGCCCCTCTGCCGACAGCGCTCCCCCTACATTAAACAGACTCACTTTAAGAAGAGAAATAATTAGTCTCTAGGTGTCTACTCACAGATTTGCCTATTAGAAAGAAAAGATGATTTTCATATCCTTTTTCCATTAAAAATAAATGATGTTATATTGTTGATGATTTGGAAAAAAGAGTAAAGAAAAATTAATTATCGCTGAGTACCTTAAGACAGTTATCACTAACCAGTGTACTTATTTCTTCTTGGTTATTTGAATTTATTTTTTTTTTACAACTATCAGTAGCATTTATATTTATTTCTTTTTGGTCCTTTATTTGGATTTTTTGCATAACTTTAATTTTTTTATAAATTACGGAATGGGTATCTTTCCATCAGTCCAATGTAGACAGTAATCATGTCATCATAAAAAAAAAGAGAGAGAGAGAGAGAATAAGTGGTCTAATCATTCCCACCTAGTATGGCTTACTGGATGTAGACCCTTAGCTAACACTTCCCATGTATCACGATTTAATTTTCATAACAACCCATGTAGTAACTGCTTTTTGCATTTCTGATTTTACAGGCGAGAAAACTGAGGCACTGAGAAGTTAAAGAGCTTGCCCAGGGCTACATGGCAAGAGCACAGACTCAAACCCAGGCCTGTCTGACTCCAAAACTTGTTCTTCATTTGTGCTCAAGACCCTGGAGTTCAGGGGCCCTTGTGGTCAATGGCGCCACCATTTTCATGCACATCTTGGCTCCTTCGGAGTGGCCTTCCCCGTTCACCTCCTCCACATCGGGACCCCTGACTGGCGCCGGTACTTTGTTGCAGCCCATCCAAGGACAGGTCTCTGTCTATTGATTACCTGACAGCGCTGATGTATGACTTGCTCATTGCATCTTTGATCTCCTTCATGTAAGTCAACTTTTCCCATTTGGCACGTTTTTGAGCTCTTTATTTTATCCTGAGCCCTTTATAAGAGACTGTGCATATGGCATTCTAATCCTCCTGTTTCCCTCTCCCACTCTCCCCCTCCCCGCCTACGCGACATTCCAGTTCATCTCTAAAGATAATTAACGCTGGTAGCCTCCACCACAGCAGGGAGAGATGTCTAGTGAAAACCCTACTCCACCCTTTAAGAGCTAGAGGCTCTTCCAACAAACAGATTCTACTTGTGATCACTTTTCTTGTCTGTTGCCACCTCATACAGTTTTAAGTTCACAGTGAGATCCCCTTTTCTTACCCCTAAAATGTCCATCAGAAACCCTTTTGGGTTCCTATTTTCAGCCGATGCTATAGGTTTACAAACACAATCCAAAGGCAACTATTGCTAACAACACTTTAAGAATTATTACAATTATTGATAGGTTGATATGGATGATTACAATAGAACCCCTTGTGCTTGCTTCATAATTACAATAATATTGTATTTCTTTCTTTTAGCTTTAATACTCTAATTTAGATAATTATCCGACAGAGTTCCTGGCAAGCATCTGGAAGATATCAATTTGAAAGAACCAAATACTAATTCTCTCATTCTAAGAGAATAATAAATTTTTTTTAAAGTTGCCAAATTATATTCATGTTGAAAAACATCCAACACACATGTCCTCTCTGCTATAAAAATGTCTATCCTTATTAGATATAATCCATATTCTGAGAGATTTACAAATTGCGAATTCTTCACATAAGTGTATTTTCTACCCCTCTGCATAACCCACAAGTATCATACAGTTAATTCTGCCCTTGGGGTATCATTCACATTTAATTTATCACTGATCTGCTGGAAGAAAAACTGTTTCTCCTTAGGACATGTCCAAAAATTAAAAAAAAAAAGACTAGTGTGCATTACAGAATGTACTCATTCTGTCCATAATGGGAGGAGATGTTTTTTAAGAGAAGTCACAGAGTCTACTATTGTGTTAAACCTAGAGAGGACAAGACTGTGCGTTACTGGAAATGCAAAACCTTTAACTGAGTATGTGCATTTTTCACTTCCAAGTAACAAATTGTCTTTCTTATTCTGTTCTACTCATTTCGGAGAAATAAGGAGGTACCTCTTTTCCTGTCTCTTTCTCATTAAGTCTCCTCATGCTTTCCTAGTGGGAAGAGATTCACAGTCCATAGGCCAAGTAACAACCCAAGAAGCATCAATTAATAAGAATGCTTTCTCCTCCTCAGAGAGACCAACTGATGAGGGGAAAAGGAGTCCTCTTTTCTTGTGATTTTATCCGCCATCAAGAAGAAATTACCGCCCCCCCCCCACCCCCCGCAACCAGCCCCAAGGCTCCTAAGCTATTTGTTAGCTGTGAACTTCAGATCCTATGCTCTGTCTGGTCCGACAAGCTCACAAAGGTAAGTGGACCCCCTGGTCCAAGCTATGACAGACAATAGCTGCTACAACTTCAGTCCACTTTTATAGGTACACATAGTCTTCAAGTCATGCGATTATATTCTTTCTAATGGTTGAGCTCAAGTAACCATCCCGTGAGTTTTACCTATAACACTAAGTGCTTTGGATGCTGGACAGTGTTTTTCCCAAACACGGTCCCATTCTTTTCCCAGGAAAGGTTCTTGCTAAGTGCCTGTGAGCTGCTTCAAAATCTGAAATTCAATATGAGAAGCCAGGTGCAGTCAAGGCCTAGCTGAAGGAGTTGCGAACTTTGAATCAGCTTGCGGCACCTGACAAAATCAGAGTGTCCTGGGATGAGAAGGAGACCATGTTTCAGGAGCCATGTTGTCCAGATGAACCACATCCATGGTGCTCAGCGTTACACAAAAAACCATGGGCTGATGAACTGAACCATCAGAGATTACACAATCACACACCTCGATGACTACCTGCCAACTAAAAAAGTGGACTGCGTTGTGGTAGCTATTGTCTGTCATTGCAAGCAAGGACACTGCACTGACCCAATTCCACAGCACAACTTCTAAATTTCTCTATGTTCTTCTAAGTAAAAAAGAAAGGGCACAAAGGCCAGCACTCTGTTGCCTGCTCGGCCACCAGCTAGACGTGGGATTTCTAGGCTGCGAGTCTGGCCTCCGTAAACCATAGGCATGAATTAGACAATTTCCCAAACCGCTTTGCATTCTAAAGTTTCATTCTAACTGCTACTGAGAATCTCAGCAGGATGCAAGACAGTCTAACAAGTGACAAGAAGAGTCTCCTGGACCCATGGATCATGCCCCCAACAGAAAAGGCAAACACACAAGGAGAAAGGAGTCTCCCTCCCCAGGACACTTGCACGTGCAGTGCCGCACAGGTGAGACAAAAGGAGAAGCTGTTGGGGGGGGGGGGGGGGGGGGGGGGCGCGGTTATGATGTCGCCTCTTCTGGGACCCTGAAGGCAACAACCATGTTTTGTAACAAACACGGCTTGTTATAGCCTCACTTGTGACGCGTCTTTCTTGGATTAACTTCTTGAGATCTCTAAGTGTGATACACAAATAATACTAGTTGTGCATCTCTTGCAATCTGGAAAACAGTAAAACTCTCTCCTTAGGCAAGAGAACATATGGAGAGGAGGGCGGACGCACGTTCAGGAAGCAGTTAGCCAAGTGGTTTAAGATATGCCTTCTCGACGGAGTAAAAAAATTTTCATTTGTACCTGAACATGCCTTTTGGAGGCAAAGATGTTCTTGGTTATTATCTTTTCCAACTCCTTATCACAGACTTAAAATGAAAATGCTCGTCCTTCAGGCGAAGTGATATATGCACTCATACATACACATATTATTATAAATATGCTAATAACATTCTGCATTAACACAGAGGATGAAAGTGCTCTACAGAAGATGCTGTAGCTCATTAATCCTCAGGAGATCCGTGAAATAGCTAGGGGAAAGGGACCGTGTGCCAGCTTTTCCGAATGACAGAAAACTGCATGGTTTAAGCAGTTTGCTCAAATTTGTCTCGTGGACCTTCAGCAGGGCCTGAGAGAACACAGAGTGTTACCTGCAAGTTGGGACTGACTTACCCCACATGCCTCTCATAAAAAGACCAGAGGCCGCAGTGCAGTCCTTCGGTGTTTCCTTCTATACTCGCCTTGCGCGCCCTGGACCCTTCCAACACGGGCAGCCCCGGCCAGGGCAACCGCCAGCACAGTTAAGCGGCTGCTTGCTCCCAGGCTCAGGGAGGCTCTCCGGGTTCTGCCTCCCTGCTTCCTGCTCCACTCCTCGCAAGGAGTCCACAGCCTTTACCTTTGCATTGCCGCTCCCCGTGTGCTTTCACCCCATTTCCACTTGACAACCTCCCTCCAATCTCACTACTTTGTATTTTCACCTGAGGCCTTCTTAACGATAGAGCCCCTAAAAACGCCCCTCCTCCTACACTCCACCTGCCAAAAAGAGGCACAGCATGTCATCTGGGCCTTTAGAATGTCACTGGTCACGACCTCAGCCTCGGACTCTTTCCGAGAGAAAGAGATGGGACAAATCTAAAGGCACTAAGTCAGTAACAACCGACCCTGGCTCCCCTGGGGTCAGGGTCTCCTGAATGTTTCCAGGACAGCCGCGGAGAGCCCCTCCACCCTGCCAGGGCTGGGCGGTGAAGAGGGCGTTACCATGAGGGCGGTGTAGGTGTAGGGATAGTGGTAGGCCAGGTAGCAGACGTCCCCACTGTGCGGGAAGGTGACGGCGAAGGTGAGGGTGTAATAACACTTCCTAGACGCTCCCGCTGTGACAGCTGCACTCTCGCGGTAATGATTCCTGGAAGAGAAAGGAGAAGAGGGGAGAATGAGGGAGACGCGAGGGAATCAGTCATTGAAGGTGCTAGGTGCTATAAACCTCTTGTGTTATATACTAGGACAATGGTCACTCAACACACTTTGTGGGTGAAGTTTAGAAAACAGAGAGAGGTACTGCTAGGCCATGAGCCAATGCAGCGATGTCCGGGCCGGTCCGTCTGCCTCCTAACTGTGGCAATTACGCCACCGGCCTTCCCTTGCTGTATCTGCAAAAGAGGCTATAGAGTGTCTGATAGAGGAAACAGAATTACAAAATAGAAAAAAATATGAATAATTTTGTTTTTCTTGGGATTCTACTGCAGGCGTACACTTTTGCCCCCAAATTTGGGTTTTCCCAACCTCTGCTACTCCCCAGATAACATAGAGTACAGCTCTTCCTTTCCTTTCCACCTGCCAAGCGGCTTATTAGCAATCACGACTAACTACTGAGTTCCAAATCAAAACGGAACATATGCCGTTTTATGTTATCACTGCCACAGCCCATTGTGCAAAGCCAATAAGGGGTCAATTCAGGGCTCAAACCCAGATCTGTCAGTCTGCAAGGCCTTTGTTCTTTCTTCTATACAATCCTTTCCTCCCAAAGGACCACATTTCTCATCCCAAACGTGGTTCGGCTTCTTCTAGCTTGAGAGTGCATTTTTTTTTTCCTTTGTCAAAGATGAAGAACCAATTTTGAGACTTCAGAGAACAACATCAAAGTAAATTGCCCCCAGAAGTACATTTCAGAACAATATTTCCCCCCGTGCCGCCAGATGCGCGCTGGCCTCGCCTGTTGATGCTGAGACAGCTGTGCCGGCTTTCCTGAGAAATGTTATCATCAAGGCCGCATTGTAATGCAAAATGGGCCCAGGCACCAAAAGATGTAATTTTACCTTAGAACACTTACAAGGTTGGTTTACTTGTCCATTGTGCTTTGGGGTTTTCTTGGGTGAAAGGGCGGGGAGAGGGGGAAAATAGATAATTATTCTGGGTGTGCTTGCAGAATATAAAAAACACAGATTATTCTTTTCTGCCTTTTTGCTACCTTCGTAACACCTCTCACCAAAGCAAAAAAAAAAAAAAAAAATCAAGTAAACAAGAAAGGGTGAAATAGGAAACCTCCAGTCTTGTTTCTTGTGGTTCTGTGTTTCTGTGTATGTGATGTGTATACATATAACACTAGAAATGAGAGTGCGAGAGTTGGGAGTCCCGCGGACTATGGCCTGATGCACTTCTCTTGCCTCAGTTTCTTCCAACATGGCACCTGGGAGCTTTGGTCGTTTTAAGGAAAGAAGGGTCCCCCTAACAATGTGAGGCCCTGGTGAGTATCCCACCCAGCTTTGCAGCATCACACCAACAGGACCGGTTTCTTTTTTGGTGACAGAACTAGACTCCCTCTGAGTCTTGATCCCTAACTGAGTCTCCATCCCGATTTCCCCAACGTTCTGTAGCTTCTCCCGGCTAAAAAGCTCAGGTTATTAGGAGCCATTCAATGAAGCAGATGTTCGCTCAGAAAGCACGCAGGCCACACAGGCCCTGCCTTTTATTCTCTTTCTGATTTCACTCGTAAAGGCCCCACTGCAAACAGCCGTTCTGCTTACCCCAAACTGAGAGAGTTAATGACACCTTTGTACAACGGGAGGGACCAGTGAAGTGAGGCGAGGCCATCAAAGGGTGCAAGTTTAGATGACCAATCAAAACGTGGAGGAGAGTTTCACCTGTGAGCAGCCATGTGTGAGCACACACATCACATGCGCATACCACATACACAGAATCATGAATGGAAAGGCAAACAGGAGCATAACGTCCTGTGCCCTCGCCATTCCCAGTTTTGGGCCTACAAACAATGGGGGCTGTCTGCAGCTCTCCTGAAGACCAACGGACGCCCTTGATGGCCGGTGGGAGTGGTTTCCCTTGGCATGAGCCATGCTTCTGTTTAGTGTTCCCACTGCGCAATAATCACTACGCTGAAATCACAGGCACAGTCACCCGTAGCAAACTCAACCTCGGTGCACCAGCCACGGGAGAGATCAAGGCAGGGAGAGGAAAATGAGGATGTGGAACCCCCATCACGGGGCCCTTTCCTCCAGTCAGACCAAACATGGATTACGGGGGAGGAGCAGCCAGTGAAATGGAAAGAGAAATCAAATGGGATAATTCTTAGCTTTCAAGCTCTTGTGGGCCCAGGTCCTAGGGATCTGAGGGAAGTATCAGGGATTCGCATGGTGGCTTTATTTTCTTTTTATTTTTTTCTTGAATTTATTGGGGTGATAGAGGTTAATAAAATTATGTTTCAAATTACAATTCTGTAACACATCATCTGTATAGCGTATCGTGTTCACTGCCCCAAGTCAAGTCTCCTTGCCTCACCATTTATCCCATCTTTACCCTTGTCTACCTCTACCCACCCCCTTTCCCTCTGGTCATCACTATAATGTTGTCTGTGTCTATGAGGGGTTTTTTTTTTCTTTTTCTTTTTGCTTAATCCCTTCTCCGTTTTTACCTAGCTCCCAACTCCCCTCCCTCTGACAGCTGTCAGTCTGTTCTCTGAATCTATGAGTCTTGTTCCTACTTTGTTATTTTGGTTGTTAGAGTCCACATATGAGTGAGACCATATGGTACTTGTCTTTCTCTGACCAGCTTATTTCACTTAGCATAATACTCTCCAGGTCCATCTGTGCTATCTCAAAAGGTAAGATTTCCTTCTTTTTTATGAGCAAGTAATATTCCACTGTGTAAATGTACCACAGCTTTTTCATCTAATTTGAATGGTGGTTTTAGCTATATGAAATCTACTTTTCACACCCCCAGCACATGCATGCACATGCACATACACACACACGGCAGGCAGAATTCTCGTGGACAAGACTAAAAGTTCCCTACTGATAAGCCAGTCCCTCCCAGGATGGTTGCAGACTACTGAAATTTAAGGAAAATGGGTATCACCTCACTCAGGATAAGTTTCAGCTAAGGGAGATCCAGTTACCACCCTAGTCTGGGGGTTAAACTCTAGTCGGACCTAAAGCAAACGTCAGGATTCCCCACCGACTCTCCTGGTGGCTGCATTGTAGGAGGAGGATCCAGAGAACCACTCTACCACCAGGGACCTTTACACTTTCCCAAGTCCACCTTCTTCAAAGTGAAACGCTTGGCTTGTTATCATTCAATAGGTCCTTGATAAAGTGAGGGTCCATCAACACATTATTTTTGTTTTCCCGACTATGATGTGAACATATTGAGGGATGTTTGCAAGGCAGTAACACTCATCTTCCCTATTTTAAATGGTTCCCATGTTCTTCCTTCATATGGAAAACCCCTTCTTCCTTCCTTCTTCATTCAGCCAAGTCAACTCCTCTTCTTCCTTCGAGATTCAACTCAAGTGCTTCCCCTTTCAGGATGACTTCCCAGGTAGCCACACTGTGCCTCACCCTCACTGCCTACACTTCATGGCAGGGTTATGCCTACTCATATATCTTCATGCCTGGCACAGTACCTGAACTTCCCAGCTCTTCTGTTAAAGTCTATAGAATTAAACAGACTTAAGATTACAGGAGTCATAATTATAATTCTTCACATATTTTATGTCTAACCCTAATGATCTCTTTGCAAAATATTATTATACACAATATACAGACAGGGAAATTGAGGCTTGTAGATGTTAAGTGTCTTGAGCAACTCCTTACAACAGGCACCTGAGTTGGCAGGATTCCATGCCAGGTGGGGGTTTACTTCAAAACCAAGACTTTCTTTATTATATCACCTTTCCCTAGAAATGGATAAAAGGACAAGAGGATTTTTGGCTGAACTCATCGAGTAAGAATTTGAAGTTCTGGTCTTCATAAATCAGGGCTGCCTATAAAGTCTAAAATAATCCATATGAGAGCCAGTGAAAATGATCCATATCACTATAATTCTTCATGTCCTTGGTATCTGATGCTGGTATGATGTTTCCACTATCAATCATAGCTGCTAACATTCATGGGCACCTCCTATGCACCAGACACTGCCCGAAGCTCTCTACATGCTTGATCTCATTTCATTTCATTTTCAGAATCTCTCTATCAGGTACACATTATTAGTCCCATTTTACAATTGTGGAGTGTGAGGTTGGGAAAAGCTGGAATAATTTGCTCAAGGTCACACCACTAGTGAATGGTAGGAGTTTGATTCCAAGAACTCTCTCTCCTTCACCTGTTCTCCTAAGAGGACAAGAAGCGTGGTGCAATCAAGCCTATTCTTGGACTTGCCAGATCCCAGATAAGTCCCCTTGGGTCAAAGATGAGGTTGGATAGATGCAGCCACGCATTGGTTAAAAGCTACCCCCTTGCTTTCCCGTTCCCTGAACCATTTATCTTCAGAAAGACCTGCACTTTTGAATCATAAAGCTTTCAATGAAGCAAGGAGCAAAGTACACAAGTGCATAGTTATAAACTCAATATATTTCCATTTGTACTTTAAAAAATACTGGGAAGTCATTTTTTTCCTTGTGCGCATGAAATGAGCAAATGCTAAGATAGCGGATTATTACACAATCTCATAATGACGATGGCTCCGTTTAACAAGGGTGCGTCATTTCATTTCACTTAAAGGGACCTGACCATGCAGGGCAGCCCAGTCGCCAGACTTCCACACGTCTGAGACATTTCTGATGTTCTCCATAATTCCCAGTCTCTCTCCTGAGGTCTTCAGAAGGGAGCCCCGTGGCGGAGCCCCAGTATGCCATTCATCTTCATGAGTGTGCCGTTTCCGCTCCTCTCATGGGCGGAGATAAATGTCAGAAGAGATCAGCCGTTGCGTATTACATGGCCCTCAGGGCAGGCTGCTACCCTGCCTCTGCCCTTCAGCAGCAAAATGACTTTAGACCAGAGCTGGGAGAGCACCTGAAAAGGTGTGCGGCTGGGCACAGCAGAGGGAGAAGCCAACCGCAGGGAAGGAAACAAGGCTGTCTTCCAGGCGAGGTGTGAAGAAATGACCCTGCCCATTAACATCGCTCCCTCTCAAGGGTCACTTTTCATTTTCTGGCCTAGCGGTCTGCACGGTGGGTGGGAGCGGGGACCCCTTAGAAGGGAAGGAGGTCTTCGGGGGAGGGGCAAGAGGATCCACTGCACACAGGGAGAAAGTATGAGAACTTCCCTTTAAATTTATTATGATCTAGGTAATAAGAAAGAGATTGAGTTGTCTGGGGTTTAGTCTGCAGACTGACAAGACTGCCCTTACTCAGTCTGAGTCAATGTAATGTGATGAGGAATTGTAAACCAACTAGGTCACAACACAGCGATCTTATCCACTCTGCTCTGCTGCTGTCCAGGCTGCAGCAGGAAAAAGACACTGCATTTGCCCTCTATAGTTTTTGTATGTCAGATAGTTAAGTGTCGACGGCTGTAGAGGAGGCTTTCTGGGGGAGGAGTAGGAATAGCTCACCACCTCACTGCTTTTAGGTTCCAGAAAGGTATTTAAGTTTGCACGAGCCTAGGTTGGTGGGTTTACAGATTACATTATCTAAATTAAACTAAACCTGACAATATAAACAATTAGTTGGGTTTTTTAAAAAAATTCTTCTTAGAAGCCATAACATGACAACATTATTAAATTTCAAGCAGTAATGACCAAGAAAATAGAAGAATGGGCAGGGCCTACTTCCTACCCTTATTACTAGCTCCTTCGTAAGAAGTCTTGTGTGCATAGAAATAATCTAATTGGACCTGGGAAGTTAACCAAAATCTTTCAAAATTATCCAAAAGACTATTTACATTATATTTTTTATGTTAAACCCTAAGTGCTCTAAGTTATCAATAGTATTAAAAATACAGCTGATTCTTGAACAACATAGGCTTGAACTGCATGGGCCCACTTATACATTTTTTTCCAGTAAACACTATAAGTGTCTTTTCCTTTCCATATTACTTTCTTAATTTGCTAGCTTATCTTACTATGAGAATACAGTATAAAATACATATAACACACAAAATATGTATAAATTGACTGTTGAAGCATCTGGAAAGCTTCCATTCAACGGTAGGCCTTTGGTAGTTAAGCTTTGGGGGAGTCAAAAGTTACACGTGGAGTTTTAACTGTGCAGGGGGTGGAGGGATCAGCACCCCTCACCCCCATGCCCAAGGGTCAACTGAGTAACCTAGGTAGACAGTTAAAATTATTACTTGTTTCATCTTTTTCTCTTCATTTAAAATTCTTAACTTTTTGCATGTGTCCTAATGTACATATTTGTGCAGTAATGTGTACATGATTAAAAATGACATATGAACAAATCTATATTGGAAGTACATGCATAAATATGACTTATCAAAATAGTTTGGAGACCACATTCTAATTGATGACGAGAGGATCCACAAAGCAGCCAGCCCTCCTCCCTAACAGATCCTCATTGCTGTCACTTTTTGAAATAACTAAATATTATATTACTTTGGAGTGTCATTTTATCTTTGACCCTTTCATATCACATACTCGGGAATCACTATGACTCGTGATTCTCTCAACAATGTGCAACCTGTCGCCCCCTTTAAAACATGCCACTAAATCTGAGAATTTAACAGCATGACAGAAATAGAATTTCTGAGTTCCACAGGGCATATGGAAGACAAAGAAATGAGGAGGTAAAGTTCTCCCAATTAATACACTAGGCAGAATAAAGGCAGAAATGAAGAAGAAAAAAAAAGCCTTCTAAAAGCAGACAGACCCAAAGATTATGATTCGTAGAAGGGAGAAATATGCTGCATACTGTAAGGCGTTCCGTATTAGGGAGAAGTGTTCTATTTTGTGGTTGAACACAGATACACCTATCTATCCTGTTTTCAGATCACATCATTGGAAATATGTTAACATAATGTGGTGAATAATTGTAAAACAAACTACACTGCGATGTAGCAATCATCCATTTATCTCTGTTGTATTCATGGCTGGAAAACGAAAAATGAATTACATTATACATTCATGGTTTTCATGTTACCTCTGTTCCTCTCTAATCATGTAACAATCGTCTTGTTAATGAATCTAAAAGCTATTAACATTAATGTTGGCTTTCCTTAGGCCAAGGCTGTGCTCTTGGATATGTGGCTTCTCCCTTCTCTTAGCAGACAGATGCTCAGTCCCCTGCAGCCTGGTCCTTCCCCACCCACAAATCTGCGGGCTCCAGCGAGAGCTGTGCCCCCCAGGAGAGGATGCGAAATGTTATGTTTGTTCAACCTCATACCAAAACTAAGCTCCACATCCAGGCTGGCTACAAGCTGGGTCTTTCATGTGTATTTAGGGTCACCTTTATCAGAGAACAGTAAAAGCTATTCTTGACACACAAAGGTCCAAATTTAGGCTTTTATTATTTTTCCCTGCAGCTGGGAAAAATATTACCTTGAAGTGATTTTTAGTCTAAATCTCTTTGGACCACAGAAAGATCCTACAAGTCTCTAGGTAGATGGGCCAGAGGGGAGCTGCTATACAGGTGAATGGAAAAGCCAACAAAATGACCATATTTTGCAATTGTTCTAAAGAAGATAATGAAAACACTACCTGGGCCCATATCTTAATCCATCAAGGACTGGAGACTGCCAAGTCTTAGTAGGCATGGTCCGTCAGCCCAGCTCCATGGTCTGTAGGCGACTGATGTCTCTGCGGAGACTTTTGCTTTGTGTCAGATCGAGCAACAAAACCTTGACCTCTCCCGTCCTTTCCTGCCCTCACGCCTCACAAGCCAAGGGGCCTAAGTGCACAATACTCTGTTTCTTCTTGACACTGACAGCAACCTAAACTCTAGAATGTCTGACTGCAGTTTTTAAGGGGTCTCCTGTAATCTTAGGAGAAGGTAAGACTTACTTTATCCAAGAGAATAAGTACTAGCCTATCAGTTTTTTTTTAAATTAGCTATGAGAATTAATTATATATTTTCTACCCACTCTAATTATGCCTCTCTTTTTTTTTTCTTACTAGTTTGTATTTTATTTTCCCACTCCCAAATGCACAAATAAGCAAACTCATAGGTCTGGAATTCTTTAATCAAAAACTATGGATAATTTAAAGTTCATTTCAATTTTACAGGATAAAATGATGAAAATGGTTAGGGGTCAAGGGTTAAAGATGAATTTTGAAGACCCTCCCTCTTTCATTTTTTCTAAAAAGAAATAATCTTACTATGTGTATTTGTCACATATTCACTCTCACCTACTTTGTAAAACTGTAGGATAGGATGGGTAAGAATGGGCTAGAATTTCTTAAGACATTTTACTCACTGAAAAAAAAATGGACAGAGGTGAAGAGCTGAAGTTTGATGCACTAATCGCAGGTTGAGTCTGTGCAACTTCTAATATCCAGCAAGGTCTGCCGGCGTCCATGTGCTCACATGAAGACAGACCATGTTCAGCAAGTCAAAAGCTACTTCTCGCGGTCTACAGAGGGTGCCGCATAACATGCTTATGCTTCAGAAAGGCAGGGCATTTGCCAGAGGGACAGTGACAAGTATAGCTGAGCAGCACAGATGGCTGAGGTTTACAAGAGCAACAGGGAGAAGTAGGAAGAAACTAACAATATTCTAACTCACCTGTAATAGCAGATTTCATAGCCCGTCCGTATCCAGGTGGGTCTGCCGAGAAGAGCCTCCTTCACAGAATACATGGTTGGCTGCATCCCTACACAGAATAAAGACAGGAGTAAAATGCCGGGGAAGGAGAAGGGGGCAAAGAGTTGCAGCAGGCTGCATGATGGCCCTCAATGACACCCAGGTCTTAATGCAGGAACCTGGGAATGTCACCTTGCATGGCAACAGAGACTTTGCAGGTGTGATTAAAGGATCTTGAGATGTGGGGCTCATCCTGATGGGCCCTAAATGCAATCACAAATGTCTTTTGTTTTTAATTGATTTCATAGAGAGAGAAAGGACGGGATAGAGAGAGAAACCTCAACTTGTTGTTCCACTTATTTATACAGCCATTGGTTGATTCTTGTATGTGCCCTGACTGGGGATGGAACCTACAACCTTGGTGTATTGTGACAATGCTCTAACCAACTTAGCTACCCCGCCAGGGCTATCATCAATGTCTCTATGAGAGGGGAGCTTAGCAGGGTTCGACTACTGAGGAAGAGCAATGCAACTGGAGCAGAGAGAAATTTGAGGATGCTACACTGCTGGCTTTGAAGTTCAAGGAAGGGGCCATGAGCCCAGAAACACAAGGAATGTAGCTCTAAAAGATGGAAAAGGAAGCAGAAAATCCACCGGCATCTCCAGAGGAAGCGTGTCCTTTCCAACACCTTGACTAAGCCCAGGGAAGCTCCAGAACTATAAGAATATATTTGTTTTGATTTAAGCTGCTAAGCTTGGGACAATTTGTTACAGCAGTCACACAAAGTGAAGGCAAGAATCAAGGATCTTATTTCCTGTTTCTATCCCAGCAGGAGTCTGTTTTTAGTATAAAATGGAGACAGTATCCTGTGCTCAGACCTGGAGATATGGGAATATTTATTCTTTACTCAGAGCCACTCAATAAATTAGTGTATGGGCCAGCAATAACACTCAGGATTTCCCATTCCTACAAATGTTCAAAATAAATCTGGGCTACTAGTTAGCAATCCTTTGAATATCTCCTCTGAATCTCACACAGATATTCAGGAGAATTTAAACTTTCTCGAGAGTTTCCTTTGGGTCTAAATCAATGTTGGATTGTACTGTTTGCCTGTCTGTGACCAACAGGTCAATACATTTGCTGCTGTGGGATTTAGGAGACAGAAGGGACAAATGAGAGGGCTCGGCAGCCCCAGCAAGTTCCAGGCCAGGCAAGGGAGGCAGGAAGTCGTGGGGTGTTATGGGCGGCGGTAATGTCCCATGGCAGAATGGGGTTCTTCGGCTTCCCCTTCCACAGTAGCAATTTGCCATGTGTTGGCCACCATCTTGCCACGCCTGGCCCCCAAAATGTGTCACCCCAACTTCAAATCCTTTGGGAAGCCAGCAGGGCTTCTGGTAACAAGCTGAACACTCACAAAGTGACATCATCCCCAGTGTTACCCAGAAAGCCTCTGTTCCCCAAGAGCTCCTACCATAATTAAACTGGCTGTTGGGCTTCTCACAGTTGATGATGTTGAAGCGGTAAGGGATGGCGGCCCTCATACCGCTCACCTTGAAGTTGAACCACTGCTGGTACTGGGTGCTGTTCACATCAGTATTGACCAACAAGTCATACTCAAACCTGCAAGAGTGGAAGCCAGATTAGAGGGTTAAAAGTCTTTAAGGTAACTGGCAGCACTGAAGGTCTACACATCTTGGGTTCTTGCTGGAAGATCGAAGACTTGGGCTGGTAAATGGTACTTATCATCCAGAGCTCATGATATTAGACACAGGCAGCAGACTGGAAGGGAGCAGGTTCTTGGTATTAGAAGAGTCAGTTACACAATTATAGCATATATATTTATTAACCTGAGATAAAGTTTCTATCTGGCTGGAAAAATGCAAGTGTGCGCCTTCCCAGAGAAAATGTGATCAAGTCTGGTTAGATACGCTGTTGCTATTTAAAGCCAGGCATTATTTTTGAGCCTCAGTCTTCTCATATGGAAAATGAAAATAGCGTCTAAACTTGCAGTGCTGTTTGTAAAGATTAATTAATACAGTGTACGTAAATCCCCAGCAAAGCTACAAACATGAGTTAGGCTAGTGATGCAGGGATTGTTTATTCGTTTTTCCCCTTTTAAAGTGATACAATTTACATGCAAGAAATGCACTGCACAAATCATAAGTACATAACGCAATAAATTTAAACAAATTCATCTGAGTACACCCCTTTGACAACCACCCAGATCAAGATATAGGACCTCAGGAGGCTCTTATGTGCCCCCTCCCAGCCACAATGTCTCCAAAGGTAATTAATTTCTTGAGCTTTGAGCTTTAGCAACAGAATTAGCAATGCAGATTTGACTTAAACATTATAAGGGCATTTCATTTTTAAAAATATTATTGCCACATCCCCTTGGCATGTTCCTTGAGTTGCTCTTTTAATTTTTTTATCCTCATCTGAGGATATGGTTTTGTTTTCTTTTGTTTTTATTGATTTGAGAGAGAGAGAGGAAGACATAGAAACATCAATGTGAGGGAGAAACATTGACTGGTTGCATCCCGTATGTGCCCGGACCAAGGATCGAACTTGCAACCTAAGTATGTGTCCTGACCGGGAATTGAAGGCACAACCTTTGGTGTATGTGACATCACCCCAACCAACTGAGCCACTCAGCCAGAGCCTGAATTGCTCTTTCAGAAAGGGTTCTACTTTTGGTCTGACCTGTTCATCCTCTCCTGCTCTGGACCCAACAACGGCCACTCTGTAGTGAGATCTGCGGAAGGGCGGGGCTTCGCATGAGACACATCAGAGCAGAGTAGAGCTGATGGATTCCGACTGCTCACTCTGACCACAGAGAGGCTCTCTGAGTGGCACTTGTAAGAACAACTCTGGAAAGCCAATGTCCTTTAAATTGTCTGTTATGCCCCAATTCTGTCTCCAAAAAGTAATCATAAAAAATTCCTGTCCTATAAGTACGTATGTTTTCTGTCAGTTGACATTATCTTGACCACAGTGGATTCATGTAGGATAATACACTCTTGCCAAAGGCAGGTATATGGAGAGAGAGACCTGAGCAAGTCCAGCAGCTCAGCTGCTTCCTGGACAGATCACTGTTCCACTAGCAGATTCCTAGGGAGGCCTTCTCTCCTGGATCCTTCGAACACAACAGAAGGAGAGAAGGAACACTAGAGGCAGGAGCCATAAGAGGAAGCAGAAGCTGAGCTGGCAGACAAGAAGGAGAAGGCGGCTGAGGAGGATTCTCAACAGGATGGTTTTGCCCATCTCCGGCTCAACTGGCTCAACTTGTACTTGTTTTCTATGCTGGGCTTTCTTGAAATAAGGCATGTACAAAAACAAAACAAAACCAAAAAAAGACAAAACATCACCATTCATCTCCTTTCCAAAAATAAATAAAAAATAAAAACTTCACAAGTAACTTCCTGGATGGATACAAAGCGGGTCTGAGCAACCCTAAGTTCTGAGCTCTAGCATAGGGAACGTGCCTCCTCAGCGGGGGTGAACGCTGATTCAGTGCTTACCATGAGTCCAGCGCTACTCTGTAAGCCGTGTGCTCATGCTAACTCTCCTAGCCCTATGATGTGGCAGTTCTCACTGTCCCCTTCCCTGGGTAAGGACATAAAGCTGTGCAGTTAGTTAGGGACTCACTCCAAGTCTGTGACCACCACACTATTACCTTCTCCGGACTGTTGCTTTCAGAAGTTCACAAACAGAAGATGGAGGATTTATCTTGCCTTTTGGTAAATGACACATGGAGTCTACACAGCTATAGCAGAAAGAATTCCAGCAAGAACAAGCAACGTCTCTGCCGCTGGACTTTGGGCTTTATTTCTCTCCTTGGCACTTGCACAGTCCTAGGCTCTCCTTAGCTGTGAAACCCTTCTCTGGGATACGAGCTCACTGGTGGGCTCTGGCTGAGTGCTCTCTCTGATGACGGAAGGCTGTCCTCCCTGCAGGCAGCCCCTGGTTTCCGCCTCCCAAGTCTACAGGTATGGGAGCTGCGGACATGGACAGATACGGGCGTAGCGGACCCTGGCATCGGTGCAAGTATCAAGGTCCCCAGGAAAGTGCTCTCACACCCAAATAGGGACCCGTTATTAGACCACAGGTGTGTTCCTAACTGGTTGCCTCTGGTCTCCACCTTGCTATGTCGTCAGCTGGTGACATGCTGGTTGATGTTCCACAAGTGACTCTCAGCCTTCATTTGCAGTGTTTGCCACATTGCATGGTGTAAACACTGCCACTGCGGTGATGTCAAGCTACCAATCAGTGTGCGGTCAGTACAAAGAGAGAGGGAAGAGAAAGGCACGCCCGCACTCTTGTGCTGCCCTGGGGCAGCCTTCCGTACTTACTCACGCACTTGGATGGCTTTGCGAAGATTTCCTGACTCAAACTCGGAGGAGAACCACAAACAATTGGAAGCCGTGTCTTGCCTGTAATGAAAGAGAGACCGTGAAAACAGGCGTTATTGCTGTTCTTGGGTACCAGTTGACATCTCTAAGAGGGAAGCTTTCTCTCACCCACACGTTCGCCTGGCTGACTTTGGGACTAGGAATGGATTACTCACCAGAACTCTCTCATTCTCAGAATTCTCTCAATTCTACCCACCCGCCTTCCACTGATGTTCAAGGCCACCTACCAAGGCTCGTCTAAACTGAAGACAACTTTATTTATAACATCACTGGTCTGGATCGACCGCCGGATATCCTCAAATATCTTGATCCTGAGAAGGAAAATTAGAAACATTTTACAGGTTGACCTTTACTCCTTACCCCGTTCGTCCTTTGGTGTGGGGCCTTGGGAGTCATCGGAGAAACAGGAAGGAAAAGTTAATAATGTCCCAAGCTTGAACTGAACTAGCAAAGAAATGCTGTTCCTCCTTCTTTCTCTTCTTCCTCAGTAATAAAACCACATTGGGTTTAGGAATGTAGGAAGCAGTGAGGCTAGATTTTGGTGAGAGTACTCTGACTGGAATGAGAGTTTTGTCAAGAGTATTTGGGTAAAGGGACGTTTAAGGTTTCCGGTTGTGAGAATAAGAGGGTCCTTTGCACTGACAGTTTTGAGGGAGATGCTGGGGTTATTGAGTGTTAGCATCCTAGGGTCTGGGAGGCTCCAATGAACCTTTCAACTCTGTGTCACTTGTGTTCTTTGGGTTCTGTCTGCTCTGGAGATAAGGTCAATCTTCTGTCTGAGAAACACAAATATCCAGATTTATGAAAGATGGAGAAAAGAATCTGAAGGGATCTTTCTGATTTTCTCCTTGAACTTCCGATCCAAGTCTCTGGGACAGGAGAAAGGGGAAGGGGAGGCAGACTTGAGGCCCGGATGCAGGGGGAGGTGTCCTAGCCAGGGGGGAGCTGTTGCCGGCCAGCCCTGATGTGTGTCTCTCAGGAACCTGAACATGACAAAGCACATGCAGGGTCTGAGGCCAGAGACATCAGCCAGGAGCCCAGGTGGGAGCAGCTCTTGGGATCCACCATCGATTTGCTAATGAAATGGAAAATAAGTTAATGAAACTTTCTGGTACGCACACTTCGCCCCATTGACTGAGTGCATGCATACTAAATTTTTTTTCCGCGAAAATAATTTTTTTCCTTGGCTTTAGTAATTTTCATTTTACTCTCACTTTGCAGAGCCAAAGGCAAAGCTCCCACTCCTGAATTCTGGGAATAATCCATCACGCAAGGTTTCTCCCCCAGAGAATGTGCTGTTCGCACGCACTCCTCCGCGATGCAGAGAGCTGTTCTCCAAGCCACACCCAGCACCATGGGATGGAGCTACCTGCCTCCTAGTAACAAAAGACCAGACATCCGTTTGCAATGAACACAAAAGGGGATCGCAGACAGACCATATTTGTTTTTTCCGAGCACCTTCCTGAGTAATGATGCCCCCATTGGCAGACACCGGGTTATCCTCTGTCGTAGCAGCTTGCCATGCACGAGAAGTAAGGGGTTGCATAGCATCTCCCAAGGGGTTCTTTTCCGGACCCCTCCCACACCTCCCACAACCCCACCCTGGGCCTTAAATGTCCTATGTAACACCGGAAGGCTTGAGCACTTGGCCAAAGTTTCCCAAGTGGCTTTAACGTGCCCCTGACTCATGCTCACTTTTCTACAGAGAACATAACTGCTGTGCACACCAATCCTCCTATGAAAATATTAAGAAGAGAAAAAACACGGTTCTCAGACCGGCAGCGCCATTACCTTTGGATTCCACGTTTGCGCTCCAACATGGGCTCCAGAGAGGGCGGAGGACGGTGCCCCCAGAGGTCAGGAAATGCCACCATCTTGAAGTCAGCCACGGACCTGGTTCTTTGGGCTTTGGCCACATAACCGTAGGGGTCGTGGAAGGGGATGTGCTGGGGATGTGTCTGCAGAAGCTTATCTATTGCTTCAACAGTTTCTGTGGACCCGGTGGCGTTGGAACAGGCGGCACTTATCCTAGGGCAGGAAATCATGTCTATGTCCCAAGTATCCTCTTTGAGGAAGGCCCGAATGTCCGCAATTTCATTTCCAGAAGAATCCGTCCCTAGCCCACTGGATTGGGCATTTGGGTACAGGCCCCTTCCAGGCCCTGTTTTGGAGGCTAGAAGCACGGTGGGCCGCCGCCACATCACTGTGCTCAGGAGGGAAGTCTGGCCCGAGTCTTCTCTTTCCCGCCCCCGGGAGCTTTGGTCCTTAGTCAAGCGGCACTGCTGCGGGGAGGCAGGGGCCGGAATGTGGTGGTGGTTGGTGTACTCCGTCTCCTCAGGGTTCGGATTGTCTCCAGGTTTGGGCTCCAGTTCCTTCAGGTTTAAAGCAGAAAAGAATACGTCAGTGTTCACTTCCAGGTAGAGAGTACAACCGAACCCTGCCCTCACGCTCTGGGCTCGGGGCTCCGCACAGGTCCTGTGAACGGGGGAGCTTTCCCACGGTGAGCCAGGAGAAACTGAGCCCTCAGAGTCAAATAAACGGCACGGCCACGGAAGTGCACACCTGTGAGCAGCTTCGGGTGGGTCTAGTATAATCCTAAAAGTGCATGAATGTCTTCTGCAACACCCCAGTAAGGGAGTCTGGTTGCGAAACCTCATTTATTGGGTCTTCACAGCACCCTCAGGCAGTGCCTTTTATTTGAGTACCATTGTGATTGTTTAAAAAAGGGTTCTTTGCACCAAATTGCAATTTCCTCCCTGTAAGTTTTACCCACCGACCCCCTTCTGCTTTCTGGAGTGAGGTCAATGACACGAACTCCCTTCTGCATGTGACTCAGCTTGTACTGTCAGGCACGGCCGAATTCATGATTGATTAAGAGTCACTGGCAAATAACCAAGGTCAAAAGGCAGGTCTACAATACTGGTGGCAGCAACAGCAGTAGCAGTGGCACTAGCCCTGGGTTAGCACGGCCAGGTGTAAGGTTCTCAGTTAGCTGCCACTGGCAAAGCAAGGCTGGCTGGCCACTTTCTTTCAGAAAGCCATCTGGTACAGTGCGTCAACTTCAACGAGGCAGCAATGACATCAGCAAGAACTTTCACTTGCTTTTTCAGCACGTGTGGGCAGGGTACACTGCCACCAGACAAGCAACTGAGAGCACTGTGTCCCTTCACCCTCCCCTTCCATCCTGGGTGTTGGGTGTTAGACCGCAAGACTCCTGCCTGCACCCCAAGTCGGCCACCCTTTCCACCTTTTTGCCTCGCAATCTGCTTCACTCTCAGAAAGACCCCAGAAGCAGATTGCTAGTGGCGAGCATGGCTTTCCATAGGGAGGCCTGCGCTGGGCCCCCAGGTTCTGCAGAGAGCCCATCATGCAATCGCGCCTCGTCCAGGAGCAGAGCCACGGCGTGTGTCCCACCTCAAAGCGGCAGGAGAGCTCAAGACACATGGCCTCATACTGGGTCAGCTCCTCTTCGGGGCGGTCGAGCCCAGGTTTGGAACTCAGCTTGTTCACATCTGTCTCCAAGTCATCATCCTACAATGGAACATTCACAAACCACGTTACAACAAAGAAAGCCACCCAGAGGAGCCTCAAGAGGAGCTACATGCGTGATCCTTCAGTCCAAATCACAGTGCTAACCTATGCAAAGGACAAATCGATAGGTCAGGTTGTATTTGTAAAATAAAAAAAGAGATACTGATGTTAGTATTTCTCATTATCAGCCCACATCAAAAATAAGTAGTAATTTATAGGAAATGAATGGTGGAAACAATGAAGCACAATGAATGGTGGAAACAATGAAGCACAATAGAAGAGAAATTTTTTATCTCACCACCACTACCGTCAATATAATCCTAATTATCACACCTATTCATTCACCTACCTTTGCCAATTAGGACCTTTGTCATTTAGGTCCTTCACTCATTTTGTTAATCCTCGCCTGAGGATGTGATGATTGCGTTTAGAGAGAAAAGAAGTTGGGGGGGAGAGAGAGAGAGATGATGATCGGTTGCCTCCTGTCCACACCCCAACCAGGGATCAAAACTGCAATGCAGGCATGTGCCCTGACCAGGCATCAGACGCACAACCTTTTGGTGTATGCGGTGATGCTCCAAGCAACTGAGCCACCCGGCCAGGGTGGCCTTTCACTCTTTTCACAAATGCTTCATGAGCACTTACTATGAGCAGCTAGTCTTGCAGGAACTAAAGATCTGGTGATAATGGAATAGAGAAAGGTCCATGCTTCGATGGAATTCGCCTTTTCGTAAGAGAAAGGAGAGAGTAAGTAAGAAAGTAAATACATGAAAAAAGTAATTTCGAATAGCGATAAGCACCATGGAAGTCATAGGGAGGTGACAGGACTGTGACTGAGACACAGGGTGCGGGAAGCTGCTCCGATTGGGTGACCTGAGAAAGCCTTGCTGAGGTGGTAACACTTTCAGACCTAAATGATGATAATCTCTGATTACGCACCGACTTGGGACAGGAAGTCATTAGCAGAAGGAGCAAGTTAAATCTGCTCACTGGGTATCTGAAGGACAGAGAATAAGAAAAAGATCTGAGAAGCAGGTGTTACGCTGACATTTACCACACCTGGGACAGAGTTTATAACCTCCAGTGACACCTTTGTCCCTCTGTAGATGTATAAATTGACCAAGTCACCACCAATCTTTTCTTCTTTGGGTTAAATAATCCCAGACTTTACTTTTTCTACTAGGTCATTGTTTCATAATAGTTTAACAGTGATGGCGACTCTTCTCCAAACGCTTCTATGTTTTTCAAAGGTTATAGACTCTTACACAGAAAGGGCTCCAGAAATCAAACCGCCCAGTCTCTTTGTCTTTCCATGTTTCTCCCAGGTCAAGTTTCCCTAATGAAATGGGAGAAAAACCTACCCTATGTTGTAGGATGATATTGGGTTGGTTAAGGGAAAACCTGGCAGTCCTGAAGACCTACATTACTCTTCCCTAAATCAAATAAATGTGGAAAACAAGTGTTTATATTCCTGATCCAGGGGAAAAAAAGAAAATGCAATATTCCATCCATCTTTCACAATCTTCCTCCAAACTTCAGATTAAAAGAAAAATAGATCCCATGAGGCTGACTTAATGATATTTTCAGATACGGTGCATACCAGGCCCAAACTCGTCAGCCTGGTAGTGGAGATCCAGCTCTATCTCTTAGTCCCTCCAGACCTCCCGCAGCCCTGCGCAGCCACGGCCGTGCCCCAGGCTGGTGCCAATGGAAACACACGGGGGAGTCAGGCTGGCGTGTCTGGAGTGATGAGTGCCGTGTGACCTGCGTGATCCATGAGCTGCTGTCTAACTCATTCCACAGGTGGTCAGGTTCATGAAGAAAAAGACACGCCCGATACCTAGCCTGTATTTAAGTTTCTCTTTCCTAAGGTTGGCATTGACAGTTTTCGATCAGAGAGAGCACCCAACTTTCCAGACTCAGGACCCCTTACAAATCAAGAGTTCCTTTTAACCACTCTTTTTCAGATACTGGTCTTAAATATTGACTAAGCTTTTCGAATGACCAGAAACAAACCCTCCAGGCTTCCTGCCCACATTTTTCGCAGGAAGCGCTGCCAGGTCTGCCAAGGATGAACGCGTTTGTGGGAGTGCAAGTCCCCTTGCTCTTGTGACACCCCGGAACCCAGCCCTGACTCCAGTGCTCCTGTTTCTGCAACTCATGCTCACACCACTGAGTTCTCATCTTCTTGGCTGAAAGGTTTTCATGAATAGTTCCCAGGCCTTCCCCAAGGTGTTTGTGCTTCCTTCCCAAGTGGATTTGTTTACTTGTTTCAGTTCCTCTCACCCCAGCTCATCGTCACCTGAAGAGCGAGGATGAGGGAGAATATTTGAGCCCCACCACCACCCGCAGTGCTGTGGGAAACTAGGCCCAGGCTTCAGCTTGTCCTTCCACCTCAGGTACAAGAGGTGACTGACGCTCTGCATTAGACGTTTAGTTATCAAAGAGCAAGCCAGAGGGGAGGGGGACGTGGCATTGATGAATGACTGCAGCAGCACAATATTATTCAAATAATTCAGCAAGGACTCCAAGTCCCGCACTGCCAAATTACAGCAAAGAACCAATTTTCTCTACTGATGACTTCAGAAATGATTCTATTTATCAACAAAACCCTGAGAACACCGGAGTATCAATAGCAGTCTTAACCCAGAGACCTGGCCAAGAGGTAGTCCCTTTATGCCTGCCACTCTCATCAGCAAGGTGGGTGATTATGATGACAGGACTCAAAAGGTTGCCTTCTCTCTAGACAGGCAGGCAGGTAGGCGAATAGGTAAGAAAAAATGAGGGGAGGAGGGAAAAGGGAGATGGATGGATGGACGGATGGATGGATGGATAGATGGACAGGCATTTTAAAACTCAGGTTTCATACCCAAGAATCTCATGAAAGGTAGCATTTACTCCTCAGTCTTATTTTGTAGATGACACATTAAGGAAGCATAACTTGAAAGGGCTTGTCCAAGTTTAGGTTTACTGACAGAAATAAAGGCACAATTATAACTCATAGATAAATTTACCATTATTGCAGAGTAGTGGTTCTCAATCAGGGGTGATTTTGCTCCCCCCCCCAGGGGGATCTGGCACTTCCTGGGAACATTTTTGTTTCATGACTGGGGGTGTCAACTACTGGCATCTCGTGAGTAGAGGCCAGGGATGCTACTAAGCATCCTAAAACACACAGACGGCCCCACAGCAAACAATGACCCCGTCAAAACACCAACGGCACCAAGGTTCAGATATTCTTTTCTAGAAATGTAGTCAGTATACTATGTCCCAATGCCTGTTTTGCTTTTTTTTCATTAAGTTGGGTTTTACTGGAACACAGCCATGTCTTATCATTCATGTTCTGCCTGTAGGTGCTTTTGTGCTGTGAGGGCAAAGGTGAGGGGCTGTGATGGAGACTGTACGGCACACGAAGCCTGAAGCAGGCACTGCATGGCCTTTTGCAGAAGGTGTGCTGGCCTCTATTCTACAGCACAGGCCATCGTGGGCTACAGGCCCAGGGGCGCCACGTCCCTGTGGGCCAGGCAGCGGGCACTGTGCATGACCCACACAGACCGCGAGGGGACAGGAACTGCATGGGCACGGATACTGCGTCGAAGGGCAAGAAGGGTGACTTTCAGGGGTTAGGAAGACCTACTAGAAAAAGTGTCCTAGAAAATCTTTCCATAGTCTCTTTGCCTGTCATTCATACATCAGATATCCCAATCCTAAGCACTGAGTGTCCACCTACAGCTCGTCGGGATAAAACATGAAGCACCTTCATAAAGAGTAGCTTCTGGCTTTACAGTGAGATACTGCGCTGGGCTGACCAAGATGCAATGACCTGGGAATCAAGAACAGTGACTGCCATTTACTAAGCATAACTATTTGCAGGACACTGGGGAGGAAAAAGTAAGTCCTTAAAATGTATACTGGTATTAGCTAAATAGAGAAAACGATATTTTCCTTTGTCCAATATGAACAGGGAGAGCATCAGGAGCAAGGGCTTGTGTACCTACTTCCTCTTTCGCATCTTCAGAATCTGAGTCTTTATCCTCTTCTTCATCACCATCGTCTTCAAAATCCTCTGGGTGGGGAAAAAGAGGGGAAATGGGTGAGGCTTCCCCTCTGTCTTGGATCTGGATTAGGACTTCTCCCTCTCACAGACAAGGGGTTCACAATTAAGTGCATGACATGTCGACATCCCCCAGCGCCTATGTAAGGCACGAGAAATTGTGTCCACATAGGCACACGAGGGCACTGTATCGTGAAGCCTAAACTGCGGTCCCATGTTGAATACAAAATAAGTGCATGATAAAATGACACACAAACACCATTCTGGCTTCCCCTACCCAGCTTAGAAGAATTTCTACAGATAACATTGCCAAAGGTTAGAGACCACACACATGCAAGATTTGTTGCACTTGACTGACTCCCTAATTTTGATATGAAGGAAATTATTTGAAACAAACATCCACAGACACATCCAGTTCCGCTGTGGCAACATGATGCCTCCAGAAAAATCTGTCCCGTGGAAGGAGGCTGGGACTGGAAAGCACTAGAATCTTTTGACAATAATCTTGAAGACTGGATAATCATACTTTCAAATATTCTAATAGGACTAGCATGAGGTTTTAAATAGCTGAAGTTTTATTTCGATTTTATCCTTAGGGCAAATTAATTCCAGAACTAGTCAGTACAGTGGAGGGACTCACTTGTGGGCCTGTGAATAGATGGTTGTTAATTAGCTGAGATCACTGTACAGGCATCCAACAGCCACCAGGCATAGTGGCAACAGTTCATAATCACAGACAAAATAAGTGGGATTGGCGTTTGTTCACTCAGTGCATGAAAAACTTGCTTTTTCATACATATTTCTAATTAGCTTATTGGGTAATCATGGTTGGCCTGCAAAAGAAGTGATTTTTACTTTCATCTACACTCTGATGAAATGTTGCCATAATGCAGAAGCTCACTGTGCAGCTCACAGACACCCACTTCTTTACCTTCAGCGAGAACACGCGGAGGACCAGCGGGAGAGTTCCCGGCGGCCGGGAAGGCGTAGGCACTGCTGGCCGCGGCCAACGGAAGGGGGCTCTTCGGGGAGCACTGCCTCAGGACCTGAAGCGCGACGCCCGTCACGGGTTCCGAGCTCTGGTCGTCCAGGCAGCTCTAAACAAAGGGCAGAGTGTGTCAGATACTGCATCTCATGTAGAGTCCCTGGGTGACAAATGGCACTCAGGCTCCATGCAGGATGTCTAATTTGAACACTGTAGTATAGAGCTTTGTTTAATGTAGAACATGCTTTGGTCCGGTGTATAATCGGAATCATTTCTCTTTCCTGGCTCATATGTCATTGGAATGAATTTAAATTTAGTCTGAATACGATTTCAGTCTTTCAGGGGATGTTGCACTTAAGGGGTCTCATTGTGCAGGATGCCTGGGGGAAGGGAGGTAGCATCTTCTTCAGCCGCCGTGGGTCACTGTGAATGTCTGCCCACATTAGAGAATGAGCAGCTGAGCTGATGGAAGCCGTACTTTCCTCTTTCAGCTGTTATCCAAAGAGGGGGAAAAAAAATAAAGGAAAAGGATAAAATATGAAATCAGAAGAAGAGACTAAGTGAATCTCCAAGCCCCTAAATTAAATAACAGGCCTCTTCTCAAAGCCCCCTGTATTGATCCCTCTTGGCACCCACCCAAAACAAAGGAAAATTGGGTTTTGCACATGTAACATTTAGATATTGATGAAACATGACAAGACCCTTCTTTCCAGACGCCGTGAAAAATGTGAGAACAAATTTACTAAATTGGGAGGGAGCGCTGGGAGGAGTTTGGTTATCCCTTTGCAGGGGAAAACGGCCATTTCCTTCAGTCTCTTCGTAAATGTTTTGTCTACTGACTTGGACTAGAAAGCTGTCTAGTGGGGGCCTCCAGTTTGACATTCCTGAGGGGTTTCTGGCAAGCTCTGAGGCCGACCCGTCGTGGTCGGAGATAGGGAGGATGCCCACAACCGGCCACAGGGCAGGCTGGCTGTCCCTGGCGCGGTCACACTGCGGCATCTTCAGGCCCACGTTAGAGATTGCTCCACATGAAAGAACGCAAAGAAAAACCACTTAACAAAAATTAAACCATGAATTCAAGCTACCCGAATGACTCCAAAATAGGATAAAGAAAGCCAACTTTCAAAGCTGAAGTGTCTTAACATGATCAAGAACGCTATCTTCTGCTCTGTGTGCCCACAAGGCACCAGTCAGGTGTCCTGAACCGACCACAGGAAAATGGACCATTTGAGGCTACTTTACTTCTGGGACTTGTCAGATGATTTCAAGTGCTTAGTGGAAAGTATTAGTATTTGGAAGAAGAGAGAACTGTGCAGAGAGGAGGAAGAGAGGGGGGTAGATGGCGGATCACAGGTAATGTGCGGAGCTTCAGTCTCAGAAGGCAGAGAGCCAATCTGCAACGACCCATTTCCACCCGCAATGACACCCTTCTCCAAATTCATAACTATCCCAAACAGCAGCAGGGTGCCCTTGGAGGGGTTCCTTTTTGACCTTACATTCAAGTTGTCATCCTTCTTCCTCCTGCCTCATACAGAGCTCCAACAAGATCCCATTACATTGCACAGCACCCTCACTGCCTTAAGGACAATCTGATCCCCTCAACACTTAAGGGGTCCTTAGAGGATCTACGCAAGAACAGGACCCAGGACACAAAGAGGTGGGGCCATTAAGAGCGAGGAGCTGCAATCAGCGGCCTCAGCAGAAAGGCAAAGAACAATACAATGAACAAAGGCCGTGGGAAGGACTTGGAAATAGTTCTTTCACATGCCCAGCAGGTTTGCAGTTACATCATAAACACTAATAAAAATAGCTCAGGACAGTGGTTTTCAAAGTGCATTCCTAAGCCAACAGCATCAGCATCACTGGGGAACTTGTTAGAAATGCAAATTCCCAGGCTCCACCCCAGACCTGCTGAATCAGAAACTCTGAGGATGGGGCCCCTGCAGCCCGCCCTCCAGGTGACCCGGAGGCACACTCCACTCGGGAAGACACTGGTGCTGTGGACAGAAGTGGGGACCTCGAGGGGGACCACCGGTTCCAAATCCTTGCAAATGCTGAAATCAGAGTCTGTGTAAATCGCTGAGCCAGCACTAGGCCATACGAAGCACTCAGCACAAATCTCTCCTCCTCCTCCTCTTCCTTCACTATGATTGTCATGACCTCCATCACCACCATCACCATCACCATCATCATCATCATCAGTTGGAGCAGCAGCAGCAGAATCTGCAACAGCCACTGAGATGACATGACCAGATCCAAGGTTCCCAAGTGGGCCACCCTGTGACTCATGGGCCTTCTCCGGCGGAAGGGGGGGAGGGTTGAGGGGCAGACTGCACTTCAGTACAGCTGCAACGGCATCGGTGCTCACAGCCAGGAGCTGGGAGGCCCTGCAGCTGGGGAAACCCGGTTACAAAGCGCAGGTGCTGCCTCGGCTCACATCCGCTTCCATTCCGAGAAGCCGCTGGAGGCTGGGCACTTGTTGGCTTGCCTGGCTCGGCAGCTGAGGTCTTCACTGGCCTGCTGGGGAGCTGCCTCTGAGATCCCAGCCCTCTCCATGCCTGGCCTCCCCTTGGTACTTTCTTCTTACCATAGACATGCACCTCTGGGATCGCCATCTTCTTCCTTTACTGCCCTTTTAATTGTTTTTATACACCAGACAGAGAAGCAGCCAATAAGAAGGCAGAGGGGCTGGCATAGGGGCTATAAGGTGTTGGCAATGCAGGGGGAGCTTCGTAAGGGCTGGGAGAGATTGGAGATTTGGGGGCCACCAGCTTATAAAGTATGATGAAGCTTGGAAAAATTCAAAGTGTTTCCTCATCCAGAGGAACAGAGTATAAAATACAGCTATTTCATGACTGAGGATCTCCAAAAGCTGCAATGATGGAGAGGGACCCAGAGGTGAAAGCAGAGAGAAAATTAGATATTGGTTTGTAGCGTGATATTATGCTGTTATTTCGAGGGGGGGAAGCTATTCTTTTAAATGGGAAAAGTCTACAGGCACCATGGTTGGAAAACAGTGCTCTCGTGGACTGCATCGTTCCCTCGGATGTGCTCGTGGACAAACTGGAGGTTGTCCAGAGAGAAGCAGAAAGGCTGCTGGGGGGAGAGCAGAGAGGAACATGAAGACAGACAGCAAGGAACGTAAAGCATGTGAATCATGGCTGCCTCGACTCCCGAAGAGGGGGGTGAGCACATGGAAAATACTGGAAAGAGGGTCACATCTTCAAGACAGAGGGTGAATATAGCCTCGCACCGTGGTGTTTAAGTTAGCCCTCATCAAGAGGAATTAAGGAATTTGTCATTTGGGTAGAAATCCAGGAAACTCTAAATATGTATCCCAGTGCAGTGCAGGTCAGCAACAGGCCTTGCAGGTGCTGCGCCCTCTGCCTGGGAGGCGCTTCCTCTCAAACTTGCCCCGCCAGCTCCTTCAGTAATGCGGGTCTCAGCTGAGCTGTCAGCTGCTCAGAGACTTGACCCGTCGAATAGAGCCCGCCCCTCCGCGCCCTTCCTACGGTAGTCACCACAGGCCTTTCCCTCTCCTTATGGATTTCACAGAGCAGCAGGAAGTTATCTTCCTCATGAAATCCTTTGCTTCTGTAGTATCTGACTCTCCCAGTAAATGTTTGCCCCGCAAGATCAGAAGTCTTGTCTGTCGTATTCACCACTAGATTCCACAGTGCTAATCACCTCAGTAACTGCTCACACCCATAAAGCAGTTTTGTCATGTCAACAAGAAGGAGGAGGAGGAGGTGGTGAAGGAGGGGAAGGGGAAGGGAAAAAAGGGGAAGGAAGTAGGGTAGAAAGGAAGGAAGGGGAAACTTGAGACCCAGAGAATCTGGGTGTCTTCACAGTTTCACAGCCATACATGCTGGGATTTGAACCCAGGTTCTCTAGCTTTAAAGCCCGCACTCTCAACCACTGCACCACAGTGTGTGCCCAGTAAATATGTACTGAAGAGATGAAACAATGCATGAGTGAATCAATGAATGAGGATTTGAATCCAGAACACCTGCCCCGAGCAGGAAGCAGGAAACATGCTGAGGTTTTCCCAGCTCTGTTCCTGATGATTCCGAAATAACGGCCAGTGGGCACCACGCAGATGGCACCGTTGGCAGAGGCGGCCCCCACGCTGGTTACCTGTGTGGTGCTGAAGAGGATCTCCAGGCCCTGAGCCGCCAGGAAGGCCTCCCTGCCAGACCGGAGGGTGGCGATGTGCCTGAGGCTGAGCAGCAGCGCCCGGCGGATCGGCACATAGCTGTTGGCTGCGTCGTGGCTGTGCCAGTCCTGATGCAGCCTGAGCAAGCTGGCGACATAGCCTCTGTTCACCGCCCGGCGGCTGTTAGACTCTGAAACCAACGGGAAAAGGGAGCGTCAGCCACTGGGTCTCCTGGGGGCCCCTGCCTGAGGGTGTCCCAGTGTACCTCCCGGAGATACTTGCTAATTATAAAGGGAATTAACAATAACTCCCCAGTGAAGAAAGCTGGCAGGTGTCACCTTAATCGAGTGACCAAAGGGTATCACCAGACACAACGCACTACAGAAGACCCAGCGTCACTTCAGTGGTGTTCCTGCCCAAACGCTGAATTCAACCATGAGAAACATCAGCAAACCCCAAATGAGGGACATGCTGCAAAATATCTGATTTATACTCTTCAAAATGTCAAGATCACAAAAGACTGGGGAAAAAAAAAAAGGCTGAGGCATTGAGCTAAAAGACACTAAAAACACATGACACTTAAGAACCACACATAATTATAATTTATATTGAGGGCCAGAAAGCATATTTTTCCTCGTGCTACAAAAGGCAATTGGTATAATTTGAATAAAGCCTGTAGATTAGCCAGCAGTATTATATCAATGTACATTAGATTTTGATAAGCCATAGCTATATAAGAGAATATTATTGTTTTTAGGAAATTCAGAATTGGCATAAGGAAATGTCCATAACCTATTGTGAAACAGTGTAGAAAAATTGTAATAGCGTATGTGGACGGGGAGAGAGATTTCCATTCTTTCCTACACTTCGGTGGGCTAAGGATACTGTCATTGGGTCAAGCAAACTATAAGGTTGAGGTTGGGAAGGAAAAGACACTGAGTGAGCCCTAATATCTGAAAGGTTTTCATGTGTAGCAGACGCATTGGGTGTTTTCGCTAACGAGAATGGAAGCCGATTCATGAATAGCCAAGGGTTTGATGCAGCTTAAGAAAGAAATCTTCCCACAGTCAGGGCTGCCCAAGAAGGCCATGGCCTCCATGATGGGGGGCAGCCAGGCACCGACGGTGTGCGTTCAGGTGGAGGTTGGAAATGCGTCCAGCAGGGACACGGTGTGAGCTTTCTGACCCGGGATGGCGAGCAGTGAGAGAGCTTTTGTGGTGCCCTCCGCCACTTTAACACCAAGATTTATTTCTCTCTGTTAGTTCAACGATCTTGGTTGAGCCCTCTCATGAGACCCATCTTATGGGATACGTGAATCACTTCCTAATCTTCCCAAGACATAGTTTAAGTTCTCTCTGTAGAAACAGGGAGAAGAAGAGTTTAAGATACCCCTGCCAACAGTTAATATCTGCCCCCTTCCAAGTTAAACTGCTCAGGCTATAGGGTCAGTGGGCAAAAGTGTACCCGCTCAGATTCATGCAGCAGATGCCTGGTCCTTTGCAGGAAGGAATCTCACCGGCTGACTCTCAGGAACACATGGCCAAATCTTGCAATTCTGCCCTTTCATTACTATATTTCTCTCCATTATTCACTCTGTTCACACTGGTTTATGAGACAATATATACTTCTGGCAGGGAGTGTTTAAGAGAGGTTCCCTGAGCTGTAATTGAATATTCACAAATATCCGTTCAAAGTCAGATTTTTCCTCCAGACCATGTAAGTGCATGAGTGAGAAAAATAGCATGAAAATTCAGTGCTTTATTCCAGAAGGTTTTTCTTATAATATTAATGAAATTCTTTTTTTCTTCCTGCTTGTTTGTCAAATTCTAAATTGTCAGGCTTGGCTGAGCCCCAATGAGATTTTTGACCCATTTCTTCAGTTGGTTTTTTTTTTTTTTTTTTTTTTACATTTTTCAACATTTCACTCAGCCATGACCTGGAACTGAGAGTGATGAGCTTTATTCACTCGGTGATATGTTTGTGGAAGGTTTAAATCGTCTTCATTACCTCCTTTAATGAGTTATTCTTCTGTATCAAAAATCTTTCTCTCCTTGACTAGTCCTGGCCACAAAGCACTAGAGCCCTTTGCTGCCTGAATGAGGTTCCAGCCTATCCAATATCTGATTTTTAAAAGAAAATTGAGGATTAAGTAGGAGGTATTAAAGGAAAGAATCGCATGCTGAAAAGATGCCAAAAATGGCCAAAACAGTGCGCAGGGGCCCCGTGGGCAGCGTGAGGCTGGGGACTTGTGTCTCTCATGTTTCAGGGTTATCCCGACGACCTTCATGCTTATTGAGGGGTGAGGGGGATAATGGAAAAAGTCTTTAATTATCTGAGAGAAAAACCCCTTATCACATCCCAATGTCTCTATTCATGAATTTCTGTTAATCCTCAATGAACTGCCAGGTTTGCTAACATCTCAAGCAGCTACACCTCCATCCGCCCACCCCCGACCGGGCATCGGTCACTCTCTCTCTGAGAGTGGCTGGGGGAGGCCTGCGGAAGTCCGTACTTATCTAAAACCTGACAAAAGGGCCTTCATCAAACTGAAGAGCAAATGTGCACAAAGGCCACTGGATGGAACGAGGGTCACAGGGAGCAGCGAATTGGAGAAATTCTAGAAAATTGGAGAGGAGACCAGGGCTTCTCCAAGGGAGCCCAAATAGAGAAGAAAAATGTGCGGTTTCTGACACTGTTTTGGGCGAGCCCAGGGACTGGGGCGGGAGAGGGCTGAGGGCCCCCCAGCTGTCTCCAGAGCAGACCAACTGCGCTTTAGTTTGCTTACATAAATGGCTTCTTCCTAAGAATTTCTTGGAGGGAGGGGGGATCGTGTTTCCTAATTTGGGGGAAAAAAATTCAATTTTAAAAAAATCCCCTAAGTAGACTGGTTTATCTTAAACTAGCTGGAGGATGGGGGTGGGGTAGACAGGACTTCTGAGGGTCTTTAACACCCAGTCCCCCAACCCCACGCCACCATCTCAAAAGCATTCTCGGTGATCAGTCTCTGCCAGACCCATGCTGGGGGCAGCCGGACGTAGGTCTCACCCATGATCTTATCCTCACCCTGACCTCCGACTGGCCCTTGTAGAGTCCACTATTTCTGCCTCCCTCTCCACATTACATCCTCCCTGGGTCTTACTTGTAGCTAATTCTCAGTCTGAGATGTCATCTAGTGGTATCCTTAGTTTTCCCCCGGGTATTTTCCCACGAGGTTTCAATGTATCTCTTTACTGTAGGCCCTACTGATACTGCATACCTTTAGAGCCAGGTAAAAAGGGGGAAAAAAAATACTGGCAGGGAGTATGTCAAGGTATCCACAGGACTCATGGCAGAAGAGTCCCAGGGATTCTATCTGCTGCAGGGCGTTTTGATGTGATTTGACTGTTCTGTGGCTTTTCTTCCTCTTGCACTGGACAATGAACTCGATTCCTTGCAGAGGAAATGTGGGGACCTGCAGCCGAGTGAGGAGCCGCAGCTCTGGGAACAAGACCCCCAAGTGAGCGCAGACCTCTGCCCCTTCCAGACTCGGTGCCCCTCAGGACTTGCTGAGCTGCCCAGGCAGACCCCCCGCTGTCAGCTGCCTTCCTGGAGACCATCCCTGCACAGGGCCCTGAGTTCAGCCACCTTCCAGCTGCACAGCCTTGACCATGTTACTTCCCAGCTCTATCGCTCAGTCTTTATCAGAAAAACAACTAAGCAAAATCACTTCCTCCTGGAGGTGAGAAAGTTGAATGAGATTATGCAGGGAGCTTGATGCCAAGCACATAAGAAGACTCCAAACTTGTTGCCCATTATAATTGTCACCTATTTATTATTCCAACTTCCCCTCTATGATTACAGACAACAAAGTGCCAAATGCTCAGGATACGAACATATTCCTTTTGACAGACTCATGCAAGAGCAGGGAGTCCAGGGCCACATAGCCACTGATTTGAATTTTGACTATCCTTTTTACAACTGGCAAAAGATCATTTCAGTGGCCTTTCCAGGAGTCAATATAAAAGACATGTCTGGACCCAGTAGACTTTTCTCAAGACTTCTAAACTGTATCACATGAGCAAGCAGCTGTCTGTGTTGCCATCATAACACCAGTTACAATTACAGAGTATTTATTTACTGAGCTTTTCCTGTGTGCTCAGCGCTGGGCTAATCATTTTACACGATAGCCTCTTTTAGCTGATGGAAATGCCTGGAGATAAGCAATATTTTCCTCCTTTTACAAAGGAGGACAGAGAGGCGGAGAGAAGTTAAACAACTTAAGTCCCAAGAGCTTAGCAGTGGCATATCTAGGATTCAGATGGAATCCCATCTGCCCTCAAGCTGACTTCCCAGGCTGCTACCCCCAAAGCTCTCCGTGCTGGTCCATAGAGTTCACACGTTTTTGTGCCCAGATTAAGACCTTGACCTGTCAGCAGGACAGCCAGCTTCTTGAGGAAGGTTCCTGAAAGGCTAATGGAGATAAAGCCAGTGGAAACCTAAGGCTCTAAGGCCTTGAGGGGAGAGGCTTGCGGCCAAATTGAACTTGGCTCAGTCCCTCCACCCAGCCTCCCTCATCCATTTTCCCTGCCCCTCCCAGGACCCTAAAAATGTGGGGAGGGTTGATTTTTAATAGGAAATTCAAGAAGACGGCTTCAAGGTTCAAATAAATGGCCTCTGATTCTTCAGGTCACTGGAGGAGATGTAGAGGAGTCTTTGGAACACCCCGCCTGTGATTTGGGGAGGCCAGGGGGAAGTCCTGTCCTAACCTAAGGTACCTGAGCTCCATGCCCCTGGAGGAGGAGAGAGTGACTCAGCCATCGCTGCTCGCTCCCCAGCAGCTGCAGCAGTGGCTCCTCCACAAAGGAGCAGCAGCAATATCCCTACTGAAATACAACTAATCTTAATGTCACTGGTAATGGAAATTACACTCGATTATTATTAGCTCAAATAAGAATAATGATATGAAATTAGCTTGCAGGTATTTTTTTTCTCTTTGTGGAATAGATGCATTTCAGTAAACGTGGCTATAAAGTAAATTTAGGTTTCAAGCAAATCTTATTTTCCCATTGACTGCCTTCATAAAATTAAAGATGCTTTTCCTAAGCTCCGGAAATAGCAGCTAAGGAGGCTGAGATGATCCATCCTTCACAGCACTGTTTTAAATCTAGACTCATCCACCATTTTTTTTTAAATCACCAACTCCTCTTAACA